GATAATCCTCAGTGTGGCTTTTTTATCCTCTCAGTTTTAGGTCCAGCAGCACATTCTCTTTTCCCATACCCTAAAAATATTCCCACATATCAAAGTCTAAAAATAGATTTCATCTATACATTAGGAATTCTGTTAGAAAAACTCACACAGTATCTACATGGAGGCAGACTCACATGCTGCAGAAAGGTGCCATCACTTAAACCAGACACAACTATTGTTTTAGCATGTGGAAAACTTTATATTCTTTAACCTTTGGTAACAATCAGAGCATTGTGTTGAGAAAAAAATTAATACTCTGTTACACTCAAAGCCTTTAAATCAGTCCTCACGCATATCAAAGAGCCAAAGGACTCGACCTCATCCTGGATTCAGTACAAGTCTGTGGTGTGTAAACCTAAAGAAAGTCCTTTCTTTAGGTTTATACAGACACAGCAGCTTCTGCTTGTTATGTCATCAAATGTTCTGTGAGTGAGTTAAAATGGTAGCTGCTACTGCAACTCCGTTAGAGCTGCAGTTTGTGCCTCTCATTCATTAACACTGGGTTCAGTCACAGAGCTAAGCATCAGATTTTCAGGAAACACAACAACCCCAACCATGCAGAGTCTAAAGACACGTCCTGGGAGGGGGGAAAAAAAATCTCAAAATGAAAATATGTCCCAAGATTCATACAGACGAAGCAGCACTACATGAAGTGCCAGGAAACATTTTCAAGAGGACCATGAATACCTGTGCAAAACGAGACATTTTATAGTTGTTATAGAGCAACATTTGCTGCTGCAAATGCTGCAAACTGCTGCATCTATAAATTGTGCAGGTGTAACTACAGACACTACAGTAAGACTGATCAAATGCTAGAATTTCACCAAAACCAAAGCAGAAACAGCCTGTACCTCACAGCATGAAATTATTTGTCTGATAAAATTGGAAGGACAAGCAGCACAAACATGATGCAGAAGTTCATTTCAGTGACTCGAAATTTGAGAATGTAAAACTCAGCAGCCCGATTGGTCACATTCCTCATTCAGCAGAGTCCAGAATTATAAGTTGCATATTTAAAAAAAACAACAAACAAAGAAACACTGATTGTATGTGTTTGTGTTGAACGGACTAATTAGCTGTACAGGCTTCGAAGTTATTCTCATGGGTGAAGTTGGGAATAATAACATGGAAGTCTGTGGCACCTCTAGTGGCCATTAGAAGAACTACAATCTTTGGTGCTTCCACATGGGCTCTTTTTTCCAGGGCTCGGTTCTGCAGCGTGGTGCAGATCTGTGGCCTGAATGTAGCGGCAACACACGAGGCACAAACTGGGCTACCATTACTGCAAATTGATTATTAGGATAGATAAACAAAACAGACACAAACCAGCTTGATATGTGGTGTATTGCATTTGACCTAAAGACTTTCAAAAGCAAAGTTATCAAATGAAGGCTTTCCATTTTACACTATTATGTGGCCACTTTCTGTTGTGTTTTCATTGACCGATTTTACATATGCCGAGTCCAGCATGGGCACACAGTAACTGGACTGAATGAAGGGAACCTGGAAATGTCAAATACAACAAATCAAAAGTAATTCTGTCCTCATCAACCGCTTTACATTAAATAATATTAAAAGAGGCATTATAACAGATTACATTTCAAATCCATGAAATTAAAAAGAAAAAGAAAGAAAACAATAATAAAACAACATGCATCAAGGTTAACGTTGAGGAGGAGCTCAGAGCAGTTTTTGCTTGTTTTTTACTCTTTCTGTCCAGGACTGAGGAAGAAAAGAAAGTGCTGATTAAACTCGTAGAGAAGCCTCGCCCACCTCGACGACTCCGTGGTTTGAGAGAAAAGGCAAATCAGGCCTCGAGAGCTCAGTCCTGAGTCACCTGCCAAACGATAAGGTGGCTGCGCTCGGCTTTAGGCTGAAGTTTGATGGGGGCGTCCTCCGCCTCCTCCATCTCTCCGTCCTCATCGCCTGCAGACACACAAGTCGTCATGTTCTCCTCTACAACCACTGCGCCGTTACCGCCTGGTCTGTAAGCACGTCATGCAACAAACTCACCCATTCTGAAGTCGATGTAGCCTTCTCCTCCGCTCATCACCAGCATACACTTAGTTCCTTCCTGAGTTGTGGCATCTGCCGCCTTGTCGCCAGCTGCTTCTCCTGCACACGATGCAGATGCAGCTGCGTGACCTGAAAGCACAGAGGGACAAACTCCAGATCGCATCTGCTCAGCCACTTTTTTCTAGTTTTCACATTTAGCCCTTATTAATTACCAGAATTACACCCAGTCAGATTTTAGCTCACTAGTTAGTCAGCTGTTTGAGAATGACAGGAACTATAACGAAGCATTGCCTTCCCTTTATTACTAGTCAATAAAGGACCGAGTTGTTGTGCTAAAGCATTGGATTTTATGCCTACTCAGTTTTAATGCAGAGTTAAGAAACAAACACGAGCAAGGACCGAAAGCTGAGGTTGGCATCACTTGTTTTGTCATCATTTAATTAGTGCTGTCAGCGTTAATCTCGTTAAAATGACGTTAACGCCATAACTGCATTAACCCGGCAAATCTCCGTTAGCGAGTTAGCGCGGATTGGCCCGTGCATGGGGCTTCACGGAGTGAACGCGTTAATGAGTTAACCGTGCTAACGCGTTGTTGACAGACTGGCTGCGGTCTGTAATGTGAACTTGAACTTGAAGGGAGGCCCCTCAAAGAAAGAGCCGCAGGTGTCGTCACTGGCAGTCGCGACGCGGTAAGGGCCCTTCTGCCTTATGTTTGGGAGGGATCTAGAGTCCTTTCACTTTTCCTCATTGAATCTTTACAATCTCATACCACAGTACTTTCATTTGTTAGATTTTAATGATTAAACTCCCTATATTTTGCTTTTTTCTATATTCTGTAACTATTTTATTGTATCTTTTTCCATCAGGTTTCTGGTCCCTCCTGGTTGTTAGCAGGCTAGATGAGATATATAATCTCCTTGGTCAGTTCTGGGTGTATCCTACTCTGTGAAGTGGAGATTTACTTATTAATTTTCCAGTTTTGGGGGATTAGTTGACCTGCTGCTCTTTCCTCTAACCAAGAACAGCTTTGGAGAAGATGTAACTCTGCAGTAAATAAAGACTGCCGTAACATCACATGTCTATTTAACAACGATTTGACACCATTAATCACATTGTTCAACTAAACTAAACCCTCAGGTTGTGAGTGGTTTAGAGCAGAGGATTTGGGCTTCTGCAGTTTGTTTAGTCCATTTCTGCTTGCTCACCTGGAACAGCTGTGAAGAACTTGACAGCATCACGGTGACCATGGAAAGAGAGCTGAGCGTGAGCCATGGAGCAGTACGGAACAAACGTCCCTGCTGTGACTTTGTCGCCACTGTCGTCACCATAAACACGGACTGCACTTCCTGGTTGGTTACCTGCTGCCTTGGTAACCTTGCTGGCTGCTAATGATAGAGCAGGAGTGAATCAACTATTAAGCAACATAATGTCATTACTACACTGCAACAGCTCATTCAGAGATCACACATAAAGGCAGCAACACATACAGAACAAATAAGCATAACCAAAGTCTCAACTAAGAGGTTAGAAAAGAACTAAACAGATCCAGCTCAGACTCACCCTCTGTCAGAGGGATGGAGATGATAACGCCATTGCCAGTTCCGATCCACAGACGGTTACACGACACCATCAAAGCCGTGATTCTGACAAATGAGAAGCCCAGTTTGCCCGTGCCTGGAACACAGACAAAGCTTTTATCTCTGCATTTTCAAAACATGCTGCTGTTGTCAAGACGGACGATTGTAGAACTGACCCAACATTTTGCTGACATAGGGCTCGATGTCGACATCCTGGAGGTGCTGGTAGGTGTGAGCGTGGAACAGCCTGAGGGTGGAGTCGAGTCTGATGGACACCCAGATACCGTCGCCGTCCCAGGCCAGCAGACGTACCTGACTGTCCTTACGAGGGTGGGCATCAAATGATTTCTGCAGTGTACAAAGACATTAGCAGTTTAGACATGACGCAAAGGGAAGATTTCAGAAGTGCTAATCATTACCACAAGGTTACTGTACCTCTATCTTCATGGCTTTAGGTTGCACCACATAGATCTTGTTCCTGAAGCCACACCACACCTTATCATGCACTACTGTCATGCAGCGGATGGAGTGGTGAGGCCTCCCCAAGTCTAACAGATGGTAGTTTGTCAGGTCCCACTGTCCATCTTACAAAATAAACTCAAGTTAGACACCTGGATACTGTGTACACACGTTAAAGAAGGAAGTGGCAACAGCTCAACTCTCTCACCTACACCTCTGTGGAAAATGGCTAACGTGCCATCAGAGAGGCCGACTAGCACACGCCCTTTCACGTGTCTGTGGGAGGAAATGTGCGAGAATTACATGTTTAAACAGGCAAATAGGAAGGAAATAAACTCCAGCTGCCACCTGTCTGAATGCACTTACACTATGCCGAGCACAGAGTCCTTCAGCTTTATAGAGTGAAGACACTTCTTCCACTGAGCCACGGAGGAGTGCACGTACACACTGGAATCACAGCAGGTGCATCGATTTAGACAGAGGGTTTTTTTTCTGTTTTTAAATTCAGTCACTTACAAAAGTGCTGAGTGAAAGAAAAATGAAAAAAATCTCACTATCCATTCTGTGCGCCCAGCCACATAGTGGGAAGAACACTGCTCATTTTCTGAGCCTCTTCTCTCATCAGGTCCTGCTCCTCTGCGCTGGGGTTCAAGCTCACGCCATCCTTCAGCAGATCGCTCTCCCTGCTCGTCAGGGAACACAGTAAATACAGTGTTTACATCAGACGTCTGCACTGGGACACTTTAATCTTATGTGTTTGGACCCGAGTGTCCAAGAAGGACTGATTGTGTGTGTTTGTTGTACTTCAAAAGAGCAAAAAGTCAGTTATCGTCGTTATGCTTGATCACCAAAAGGACAAAGTTTTCTAAATGAGTCCTGTTTGTCGTCTGTCACTGTAAGTCTTAAACTTAAAAAGTGAGTGGATTAGTCACGCCGCTTCAATCAAAAGGAGACAAATAAAAATCTTGGACTGATTTTACCAACTTTCTTTTCAAGGAATAATGGATTAAATGCTTCACTGCGATGCACTGGGGATTAAGATACAGGACTGAGCAAAAGTCTCAAATCGTCCCACATTTCTTTCCCTTTTGCTCTCAAAAAGCAGCCAGATTTCAAAGGGTCCGGAGCAATAGTTCTCCAAGTTTGCTGAAGATCTTTCAAAGTTCTTCTTTGCACATTAGCTGATTAACAAAGGAATAAAGTGCGTGCCGCATATGCAGCCATTAAACATGCAGATCAGACAGTATACAATTCAGTATAGATCACGTTTCAAGGTAAAAGGCACACAGTCGATGAGTGATGCAGAAACAGAGCCTGACCTGAAGCTCTGATGCACTGCAGTAATCGTTCACTAATGTTTACATGCAGCTCACGATACAGTAAATGGTTTACAGCAAGCTATTGTTGCTGCTCTGTGGTTTGTTTATGGCGATGAAACAAAGTGAAGCTTTTATTAGCAAGACTGGATCACAACACCACTTTGCCTCTTCATGTTACCTCTGAGAGTAGTTGGCTGGCGTCTCTACTTTGTGCTGAGCTCCCAGTGGATCTGTGAAGACGTGCTCAGTGTAGATTTCTCGCAGGCTTTCTCGTTGGTCAGCAGATTCTGCACTGGTCTCTGTCGCCTCTGTGGCTTCTTCCGCTGGTCTGGATTCTGGGGAAACCAATCATGCAGAAGCACAGTAGTTTTATTTTTGCAAATGTATCAGAAGAAGACTCCTTTGCAGTGATCCCGAAAGCTCTTACCGGCTTCTCCATCTTTTCCTGCTGTCTGAGGAACAGCTGTTACTCCCTCAGCTTCACAGCCCACCACTGTGATGCCTCCCAGCACGCTGTCGCCACCTGTTGAGCTGGTACTGGTTGCTGAAGAGTTGCCATCTCCCACCGGTCCCACCTCAGAGTTTGGAGGCACTTCTTCTCCAGCTGGGTAGTCTGTCTCTCTCGCACCTGAAGAAAATTAATAGAGAAATCGTGCTGTTCTTTATAACTGATGTGCGTTTTCTGCAGGCCAGTGAATGCCAAGTGAGTTATCTCCACAAAAAGGACAATAAAAGAAAAAACGTCTCCAACTGTGGGATACAAATACACTGATTAACTGACCTGGCACGCTTGCGATGCAGAGGATGTGAGAGTTACAAACAAAGAAGCCCTCCAGGATGTTCCCAGGCTGGTTGGCATCAATGACGACAGCTTTAGTAGTAGACTTGGTGGTGGTGCAAATCCACACGAGTGACGACAACTCCTCCTGGTGCCGCTGCTCTTTCTGCTGGTCCTGGATCCACAAAAACAGAGAAGCGGAAAATAAATTACTTATTAACAAACCTTTAGTTTACAAAAGACAACAGCAAGACCCATCAGAATTCAAATAAAGATTAATTTGAACAAAGTTACTTTAATAGAATCAAAGAATAAAAAAAATACAAATTTGGAAATCAGCATTTTAGGTCAAAGATCACATCAAAGTGTGTGCGTATGTACCCTGAGTTCTTGATCCAGCTTATCCAGACTGCTCTGAGATCCAACCTTCTTTTTCGGGCTCTCTGGTCCTGACACGTCACTATAAAACACACTGGCCCCGACTATTGAACCTCCATCTCTGGTTTTACCTCCAGAAAGATTCACACAGGTAGCACACCACAGCTGAAGCACAGACACACAGATACAGCAGTCAGACATATGAATAATAAGCTAATAATTTACACCACACTACTGAGACAAAAGTCTCAAAATGTTCATATTTCCTGTTGTGAACCAAATCTTTAAAACCTTCATAGAAGCATCTTTCTCATCTAGCGGTCTGAGGAAGACAGGAACAGGTAGACTCTTCATCTTGCTCTCTGCCTGACCACCGTTAGCCTGAAAAGCCAAACACACAAACAGTCACTGCATTTAACGCTTTGTTCTAGTGTGAACTTCCCTTTGGTACAATTAATATTCTCCTTTCCTTACTTTGTACTTCTTAGGGAGGCTCCAGCCGTACGCCTGCAGTCTGCCATCCTCCTTCTGGACGTGGGCTTTGACCTGCTGGTATTGAGCCCTCTTCTGTTCTCGCCTGGATACCACACTATCAGCTGGCGCTCTGCGGGACAAAATAGCCGCTATTAACTCGACTCCATGTTGCATTTCCCCATCTCTCTTCTGCGCTAAACTTTGCTCCTCTTCCCCTGCTACATACGGTCACAGCCACTGAATGAAGTTCAGAGACAGCGGACAAGAAAAGTTATGAGAAATTATTGAACTCATAGATGACTAAAGGCTAAATAAAAGAAAAGAACATTTTTCATTGATTATTTTTCTTTTTTCCTCTTCAACTGAAGATTTGCCTTCTTTCATGTCAGTAGCCACTATACTACCGCCTCAGCTCCTCTACGCAGTTTATGGCTGACTAAAGAAAGGTGACTACAGATCAGGGCATCTGCTTCTCAGTCAGACTGAGGTGCAGGTAGGCTGCTATGATTTTGAGCGAGGTACACGAAACTGCTGAAACACTGATGACTTACTCCTTGATTTAATTACTGATTTGTTGTCCATTGGGTCTTCCTGCACATTCTCAACTTGTCTCACTTCTCCTCAACTCACATGTGTTTCTGTGGCTGCACTGACCAGAGCTCAAATCTTGACAGCCTAAATGTTTAACTTATCAAATGTGTGTTGAAGGGCAGCAAGGTGACGCGGTGGTTAGCAGTGCTGCTTCACAGCAAGAAGGTTCTGGGTTCAGCACCACGTGGCCGGAGCCTTTCTTGGATTTTGCATGTTCTCCCCATGTTCGTGTGGGTTCTTTCCGGGTACTCGGGTTTCCTCCCACAGTCCATAGACATGCAGTTAGTGGGGTTGGGTTAACTGGTGATTCTAAATTAACCATAGGTGTGAATGTGAGTGTGAATGATCATCTGTCTTTATGTGTTAGCCCTGCGACAGACTGGCGACCTGTCCAGGGTCTACCCCGCCTCTCGCCCTATGACAGCTGGGATAGGCAACCCTGAAGTGGAAGACCATGGATGAATGGAACATTTGAAGTGGGATTTTTATTTCCTAGTGTAAAAGTTCAATAGCAAAGCTAAAACAAGCTGAATACTTTTGGACACTTGGATCAAAGAATTTATCACTGAAGAAAATATTTGGAAAAATTAACAATGAATATGAGTGGGATGTTTGTGATCTTTGGTCAGTGCTCCAAAAGTAATCTCAGGAAACACGACTAACAGTGTGTGTGTTTTCTGACTTACTCCTCATTGAGGAAGTCAAAGGCTTTGCTCTTGTCACTGGGCAGCTGCTGCAGGGTGCTGCTCTTCTTCTTGACGGACGGCTGAATCTGAGAGGTGGGTGCGTTGTACTTGACGTTTACTGGGGCCTCCGCTGCCGGCTTCTTGGCTCCTCCGCCCGACGAGCTGAACAAACGGCTGAAACTGGAGGTGTAAGGGCAGGGAAGTGGAAAGGGAAAAAGGGGGGGGAAGGAGGGGGAAAAAAAGCACACAGACAAACATATAGAGGGGCGGACACAAAAGCAGTAGCTCCAGCAACACAGGTAGGGTTTAAGAATAAAAAAGGTTCCTCTCCCAGTGCCAACACGCCATGCTAGCCTTCATTCAAACCAGGGAATTAATTTGTCTTCTAAACAGAAAAGCATCAGAGCACCTGTAAATCCAGAATGCTGGAGAGCAGGGAGTGCGGGGTTAATACTGAGCACCGACTAGGATGTTAGTCAACACAGAGCAGAACAGGCCTGACCAAAAACAACTTCACATTCCCACAACTCCTCTACAGTAAGCAAACAAGCTTTTTAGCCATCTACATACAGTGATACATTTTTACCATTTTTCTAATTAACATAGGAAAATATCTGTCAATTAAAGTGGACCAATTATGCTTTTCTTTAGTGTATATATGATATATATAATTAATGTATGTGCAAGCAAATCCTCTGAGGCTGAAGCTGAGGCCTCACACTGCTCTAAATTCTTCCTTTCAGACAGTTTTCTTTTCTACTTTTGGACTTTTGTCAGAGAGACTGGAAAACCCTAATATGGTCATCTCTGGAAAACTGCCCACTGTGAGCACACCAGCTCCAACTGCTATTTATATCCTTTGTCTGTAAGGGACAGCCAATCAGGAGAAAGCTGGCTTAAATGGATGGAGAAGGGAGCTAAAAGTGCTCGTTACACACAGTGGCACAGTACCAGATAAATAAGAATCGCTTTAAACTGTAAATCATGCAAAGCTACTTTCATTTTTTATTTTTTAAATGTGGTGTTAGATTCTATTAAATCTATTATATCTTTAACTGTTTCAACCAAAACACTCCACCCATATTTCTGAGTTCCCTCCCCACTCTACACCAACCCTCCCAACACACCTCCTGCACACAGACGTCACAACATCAGGCAGAATAGAGGGACACACAGGAAAAAGGCAGAGATGCACATTTGTCAGATACGGTTTTATAAGTGCAGTTATTCCAGTCCCAAAGAACTGCTTCAAATAGTGCCCAGCCTCAAACCAAACTCAATCCTTATGGACTCTAACAAAGGAGAACAACAGCAGCCTCGGAAGCTTCTGAGGTTGATTTTTACAACCAGTTTTAAAACGTAATCAAGAATCTACGACTGGTCTGAGAACTGAAATCAGAGGCACTGCTCTCTGGATTCCTCTCCTCTGTTAGGGGTTTGTTATAAGATGACAGCTTCAATGGTCAGTTATGTTTATCACGTCAGATTTACCTACATCCTGGAGAAACCATTCAAACATGGAATACAGAAGAAGAGCAATAAATATCAACAATCATGGTAGTCGTGATTTAAGTCCTCAAGTTAAAAAAACAACAAAAACATAAAAACACTTGAGCTTACAACTGCCAGAGGCTGGACTTCTTTTTCTCTGGAAGAGTTGGGTTCTCCTTTGAAGCCCTGAAAGAAAAAAAACAAACAAAAAATTCTAACAATTTCTAACAAACTTCCTGTCTTAGCATATATTTTACTGTGTGCAGAAGAACATTTATATATGGACTCAGATGATCATGTTACCGGATCATCTCCGTCCATCTGACGGCCTCCTGCAGCTCCATGAGTCTCTCCTTGTACTGGTTCCTCTCCATCAGCACTCTGGCCATCTCCACCCTGGTGAAGCGCTTCCTCTGTGCTGTAGGCACATCACTCTGCAGGCAGGAGACCAATCTTTACTTAAAGATAACCGATACTTATAGCAAGTCAAATACCTCGACATTCTACGCTGCTCAGACTTGTATACGAATGCAACAAGCAGAAATAACAAGCGCCAAGACTCACATCATCCTCATTGTCATTCTTGACCTTCTGTTTGGCTTCGTCCAGCTCTGCTCGAACTCTGCGACAGAGTAACAAAGTACACACTCAGTCTGTCAGAACTGTAAAAGTGCAGACCCTCGACTGGTGGGCAATTCATTTATACATTGTGTTTTGAAGCTGACTCACTTTTTAAGTTCTTCCTCTAATTCTTTGTTTTTTTCCTCCAGTTTGGTCTTAGCATGTGTGACAGCATTCAGCTCTCCTTGCAGTACCTCCTTCTCACACGACAGCTCATCCACACGAGATATCAGGTCATTCTTCACCACATTCAAAGCATTTCTGAAAAGTAATACATATGCAGAAAAACACACAATCTGCTGTAATATCAATTTTAAACACAAGGGGGCACCATTACTCTGTTCCTCAATATTGGTTATTTCTATATTCATTTATCCATAAACTGACCAATTTTAACTCTGTGGTAAAAGTCTATCAAGTAGAGTCAAAAAATGCCCAGCTGGTTATTTTAAAGGTGGAAACATGACTCCACCCATCAGCCATTTTTAAAATGAAGTGGAATTTATGGTCCCGCATACGTGTCCATCCGTATACTCTTTTCGGTTGGAGAGAGTGCAGGAGAGAGATCCTGACTGCCGCTGGAAGGCAGATGATGAATCATGTATGCATCTGTCAAATGTTAACTGGTGCCAAAGTAGAGCAGGGAGTAATAGCACAGTTCATCGGGAATGGGAGAAACACGTACCTCAAAGATCCAAAAATAAAGCATGAAAAGCAGAGACAGTGGCTGCAGAGGACGATTTTCATTGTTTTTAACACTTTCAGCTGTTGCTCTGCTGCTGTTTCACTTCAGTCCTTTGCATGTTACAACTCCGCTCTTTTTTGCAGGTGGCTCACGGACCAACAATAACACGAGCTAGAAAAGCCCACAGACCAGCTGTAACCAAACCATAACTCACTGCAGACAGACAGGCGGACAGCGAACACACTCTCTGCATGACCATAAATTCATCTGCAGCCACATTGTGCCTCCTGGTGCACCCACAGTGACATATTGGACCACAGATTTATTAACAGCTTGTGACAAAATAAGACCCTCTTATGTCTTTAGAAATAAATAAATACTTATCAGGCTTTAACTAGCGAGGCACAGTGTCAGTTTATGACATGTCTGTACTCACTGGTGTCAGAAGCTGTGAGTACAAAAGGTCCAAACTGTGGGCTGTAACTGAGTCCTCACACTGTATTATAACTGCACTGTTGTAGGCTCATTAGTGATTCTAAATTAACCGCAGGTTTGAATGTGAGTGATTGTCTGTCTGCAGACAACCACAGCGGCTCACCTGTCCAGGCGCCTCTCGCCCTGTGGCAGCTGGCAGGTTTGCAGCACTCTGGGATACACTTATTTCTGCTGCTCTTAATAGTCTGCATTGGTTACCATTGAAATAAAATACTTGTGTACTAAACTGGCACAGCTTGAACAGCTCGCCTCCAAAACTTTTCAGTGATTACTCACTTGGTCTCTAGCAGCTGGGTGTTCTCATGGATAAGGTGTTCAACTTCTCGCCCCATACCTGAAAATGATCAGAGACAGATATTAAATCAAAATATCAATCAAAATCTTACTGACACCTATTTTTTTTATTCTATATTGTTTAGTATTTTTACGTTCTTACACATGTATGTCTGTCCTACACACTAACTCTCTCAGTCTTACCTAAAAAGTTGTAGTCTGAGAGTCATGCAAAGGGGAATAAGAAAGCGCTTTATGAGACTCTGCAAGTAGGTTAAGTGCTCTCATTTTAACACGTCTAATTTATAACATCACGGCTCTTCACAGCACAGCAGCGGCACTATAATTTACTCTGCCTATCCAGGAAAGAAACGTCACAGAGGGGACACATTATACACACAAATGAGGAAATCGATGAGCTAGTTAATAGAGAGAGAAATTCACTGACACACACCAGAAAACTCATCTGCATAGATGATAATGCCCGACAGCCAAAGAAAAGACAATTCAGAGAATACGAGAGGAGGGTAAAAATGGTAGTAAAATTAAAGACTGAGGCTACATCGTTACTCCTGACAGAGTGAGACTTCTTACCCAGCAGGTCAGCTCCTTCATCCACATCTCCTATGAGGTCATTTCCTGCAGACGACAGCTCCTCAAACAGAGAGTCGGTGTTGCGGTCGAATGCTAGATTCTCTACGCCACCTTTAGTTGGTGTGCTGAAAGGACAGGTGGGACACAGAGGAAAGGGAGAAAAGGATTATTATCATGAAGAAGAACGCGTGATTTTGCAATACTTTAGCACTTTTATCAGCAATAAAGCGGACTGATAAGGTGAGGCTCATTAGCGAGGTTACAATGAATATGATGGACATGAGTGTAATTGTATATATATATTTTAATAGTTATGTAAAAGCTCACAGATAAACTGATGAATACATATAACTTCATATTATTCATTGATAAACATAATTATTGCTTATGCTCTTAGGTTACTGCTGTACCTTGTTCCTCTGCAGCCAGCGAGGTCCATGTCCAGCTCAGGGGTGGACTCTATGATAGCCTGCACCTCAGACTTCTCCAGGCTATCTGCTCCATCTATAACCAGCACAGATTTAATACTAGCACAGTCTTAACTGAGAACAATTACAAGGGAGTGCAGTCATGTTACCGCAACAGAGAAGCTGTGATAAGAGAAGCACTGACCATCCTCTTTAAGAGGTGTAGCATCAGACTCAGGACCCTTCTGCTGTCCTTCCTGCACCGCTGCTATGTTCTTATTGCTCTCTGGCTTTCCACTGCTCCGGTCCAGGTTTTTGTTGTGGCCATCTGAAGTTTCCTGGTCCTTTAAGGGGGTGTCCACAGACTCCATGGCAACATCAGAAGCAGACCCTCTCCCAAGACTAGACATGGGACTCATGCCAGTGGAACCACCATCAAAAGGAGACAGTGGTGTGGTGGACTGAGAATTATTGCTGTAGTTAGATGTGGGGGTGTTTGATTTAGAGGCACCCCCCAGCGAGGGAGTGGTGGATTTGGACCCTCCATCTTGTAAAGACACAGGTGTTCCGTTTTTAGAGACGCTTCCCTGGTTGGTTTGCGTGTTGGGCCTGGAACTCCCACAGTTCAGTTGGGACAGTTCATCCTTAAGGTGAAGGAGGAAAACGGCAATCAGAAGATACGAGGTAGCAAAAAATAAAACTATGAGCCTCAGGAAGTCTTTAAAACTTTAAAATTCACTCCTTATCAATTGTAAAAAAGTAGGTTATGTGCACCTCACTGCATTCATAACAAAGCCAAGCAAAGTTCACATAAAAATGACTGTCATTCAATTGTAGTTCCACTAGGACATCATCAGTAAGGAGAATCTACATTTCCTCCATTCAAACAGAACATTATGTATTAACCATGTTAAAATGGGAACATTTTACCATGCAGCTAAACACACAGATACACAAAAAAAACCAACCCAGAATGCAACATGCTAAACAAACCCTTTATTCAATTAAAGCTAAAATACTACAATACCATAGACGAACAAGGCATCAAACGAGTCTAAAAAACAAGAAGAGTAAGATCATGGAGTGGCCGAGCCAGTTTCCAGACCTCAATCCTGCCATAAAAATCTGTGGACGGAGCTGAAGCTTCGAGTCGCCAAGCAGCAGATTTAAAGAGTTTCTGTAAAGACGAGTGGGCCAAACTCGTTACGGAGATGTGCGAAAACCTGGTGACCAACTACAAGAAATGTCTTACTGTTCAAAGTGCGCGCCAAACAGGATGTCTCCACCAAGTACTGTCATGTTTTGCTTTGGGATTAAATACTTATTTCACTTAATGACATGCAAATCTTTTTATGACTTGTGTAATTTGATTTTGGGGTTTGGTTGTTTTTTATTTGTGGTTCATGTTCTTTCTCTTTCTCACTCTCCATTAAAATGAAATTAACAGAAAAACAGACTGTTCATTACTTTAAGTGAACATACTTACAAATTCAGCAGGATAGCAGATAATTATTTCCCCCACTGTACATATACTTCACTACTGTAAATACGCCAAACTACTTTTTTCCTCTGTATTATGACTGTGCTCCAAGTGTTGTTGAAACTACTCCATCCTGCAGTTCTCATCATCTTGTTTGATGTCATCTTTACTAAAAACCAAAAATGTATCTCAATGACAGAAAACACATTTTTATTTTGGCACAAGCTGCTCGAGCTTTCCAGTCAATGGGCATGGGCAGGATTATTCCGATATCAGAAAGGTCACTTTTGACTGATTTTCAGTTACTTATCTGACCTCACCTCCGACAGTCTTCAGTTTACACTGTATATTCCGCTACAAGGCATTTTTTGCTGCTGTAATTACTAAAAGTCTATAAAGGACATCAATCCAAGTTTAGTGGATGCCGCATGTAGTTATCTGCTAATTAACTGGATCACTTGATTACCAGCTTCTTGATCAGTTTTCTAGGATCCTCAATGCCAGGAGTGGTGCACTGTTACAGGTCTGGTGCAGAGTCCATTCTGCCTCAAAGAATCATTCCACATTTAAACAGGTTTAAGTTTCCCTCAATCTGGGATGCAGGCCCCAAACAGCTCAACTTCACAAATCTTTTAAAATGTCATTAAACCTGAATTATTGTTTCTAGTTCATTTAATAAAAGAGGCACTTCCCCTTCTGATACTGCTAAAACACTCTGTTGCTAGGCAAGCATCGTGCATTATCACTGGGACTTAAAGTATTTTTAGTTTTTAGCATGAGCAAATATTAAAACACACAAACACACACACAGTGCAAAACCTGCAAACCACCTAAGACACAGAGCACAGAACTACATTAGCCTGGTGGATGCACAGGCTATAGTTTCTACCTGGTCCTGATCAACATCCACATTGGGAACATTCTGTGGTGAACTTTCACCTTCCACTGTGACTGGAGAAAACAGTTCTTCAAGCTGAGAAACATTGGAAATGAATTATTCACTAAACACACTATGTAGTTTTACTGCTATATAGTGGCCACGCTAATGTGAAACCACTCTAAGGAAGATGAAAAGCTCAAAAGCCAACAACAGGAAAAGTGTGGGAAAGGCCTGAACTTATGAAACATAGCAGTGAGTCCTGTTCAAGGCTTCCTTTGACAGTAAAGGTCACCGCTTTGCCAAAATGTCTCTGTAAAAGTCAATTAAATCAAAACTTTCAAGTATTACGTTCGTCCTCTAAAGTTCACGAGCACTTAGCAGAGGCATTTCGATTTTCTAAGCCTCAATTGTTTTGATCCTCTAATGCCGGAGACCTCTATCCCATAAATAGGACAGTGCTGATGCAAAAGAATCAATCAGGACGATAACGCCATCATCCAGATCCCTCTGTCATCTTGACAAACACAAAAGGGATAAAGAGGCGTTCGCAGACAGTATTAGAGAATTAAATTATATCCATGCTACAGTTTCCTCTAACATAATCCCTCTTCCCTCTCCGAGTCCACCTATTCTCCTCCCTCTGCACCGGTGGGAGTATTTCCTTTCAGGTTACTTGTCTGCACAATGGCGTCACTCCATTGTTGCTATAGTTACACTGTACAGCCAATTGGGGGAGAACAGTGCTCAACTGTTGACTGTGGCTCTTTCCTAAGCTTCCAAAAAAACATCTGCACACAAACACATACAAGCTGCTGAACGTGGTGGGAGAATGGGATCATTAACTAAATCTTCTGAAAAGGTCAACTAAGAGGACCAAACACAAAGGCGCTGCTGTGCAGCTGGACTAAGAGTGAAGTGTAAAACCGTGTCATTGTGTAAAAGCTAAGTTGGAAAAAGGATACACTGGGATATGCCAGCATTGCAAAACTTTGATAACTGAATGTTATTTCACTTTCACACTCTTAAAATGTCCTCTTGACCCAGTACTAGTGTAATAACTACAAATGAATACTTATTAGATGCTCATAAATATTCATGATGGAGCTTTGCTGGAAGCATGGTTACCAACAGCAACAATGTGAAGACACACTGTCCTTTCTACCCTCCCCTGAGGTTAAAGGCAGGCCCCCGAATGGTACCACTTTCCCTGTTTCCTGGGCTCCACGCCACCCCATCTCGCTCTCTCTCGCACGCGCTGTTAAAAATTCTGGGCACACTGAACAACCCTTTCTCTCTGGATGGAAATGTAGTCTTTCTTTGGTGTTTCTGCTGGCACTGGATGCTTTCGATTTAGCTTCACAAACTCTTAAGCGAACACGAGATGATGTCATGGATCTGATCCGTGGGAAGCTTGCTAACTTTACACTTTGGAATTGTTGATATGAAGAGAAGTCTTTCTTTGGAATGAATTAACAGTGCAAACAGTGACCTGCCTACGTCATACCTTGAGGCTGGTGTTAGACCGTGGATGGCTAAGGTTGTTGAATCTCCATGGTTCAGATGGGGTGTCCACGGGTTCTCTGTGGAGGTCAGGGGTCATGCCATCAGCTGCAGGAAGTTGGAACAGGCCCATGGAGACTGGACGCTCCTTCCTGGAGACGGAGAGACGCAGAAAGAGGGATAACTCAAACGTGATGAGAACAACTTTGGAAGGAGTGAACGATTTTCTAAGGGGCTGGTCTGTTAACGTTTTACAATTAGCCATGCCAACGTTAAAAATCCCAACTGAAAATGTGAAAATCATCCAAACACTTTCATTAAAACACTGAAACAAGATGTAAATGAATAATTTCCTTCAATACATAAAAGGTAGAAAAGATGTTCAGAATAAAAAAAAATTTAAGGAATGAGACATATTTTTCAAATACCAGCAGTTTGTTTTTATTTGTTCAAATACTAAATATTTAAACAAAGCCTTTCATAGTAGAAAATGAAAGCTCTTTATTTCTTACTGGAAATTAACTGCTGCAGCATACCTACCTAGATGTGTCCTCAGAGACTTATGTGAGCTGGTCTCTGAGGTCAATCTTTAGCTACGTCCACATTAATCATTTTAATTTTCAAAGGCATAACCTTTGCACAAAAACAATAGTGCCGCATTATCGGAACAATAAAACTCCGGGTCTACGTTTTAGTCTGGCTGCTCAGCATGTGAGGCTTTAAAAACTAAGCCACATACACTGACGTTAGCTGCCACATGGGTACTGTGGGTCACTCCCACAGACTGTATAAAAAAAATATCTTCCGAGTTTAAAAAGTAAAGTGTTTTAAGCCTGCATTCTTTCTACTGACCACAACAGCAACACCTGCAGTTACAAATATACTTCCAAGCTCTACAGAAAGGCCATTGGTCATTCCCATAGCAAAGAATTATCCATGCACACGTTTGTCTTGGCAATCACAAGTTGTAAGCTAATAATTATTTAGTAGTTGGTCTTAAACTACAGCATTAATTAATTAAAATTCTGACCTGATTATAGTGCTCATAAAGAAAAAGGTGAAGGTATCACTAAAGTTAACAACTTATCCCAAGGATATTATTCCCTTGGCAAGTGACTGACAAGGTCTGTATGATAGAGGATTTTACACTTTGTGCAAATCCACCTTGAATTGGCTTAGTAAGTTCATCATGACTGAATTTGATAAGCTCCATGAATATCTATACCAAATTTTACAATGTTTAATCCATTAGTTGCTGAGATATTGTAGTCACACTGCTAGCAGAGCTAAAGATTACATTTATTTTGCAGCAGAGGTCTTAATTAAAAAGGAACCACAGAAAAATGCAGGACGTGTACATTAATGAGTGTAGTTTATGTGATACTATACAAACAATGGGTTCTTACTGAATCCTTTTTGCTCTGTTTTGTTAAACAGTTACTGTCATACTCCTCCAAAAAAATCTTACATTTAATTTGATCTTGCTAAATTAAATGGACATTTTCCAGTGCAGTGAAAGCAGATCATCAGTTAGACAAAACAACACAAAGTGTGTGACAAAACTGAATGGGGATTTCACAAAGACGTGTTGTAGCAAAGACTCCCTTGGCACTGAAGTGGTGGGAGGAGAAAAATAACTTGTTGCCTCATAAACTCAATTAGCTCCCAACTACTAGGCTCAGGCAAGTCACACAAAACCAAGTTTACCAGCCTCTATCAGAGAAAAGGTGCATTTTGTCATCTGTGTTATTAATGTACAGCTTAGGAAGAAATCATCTTCAGTTTCAATAAATACACTCTGGCAGCTCAGCTGCCTGGAAGTGATGCACACAAACTTTGACAACAACTGTAACACAGCGTTCTCCACTGCATCGAGCTAATACACACAAGCAGCTTTTCACACTACAGTGACCAAAAAAAAAAAAAAAAAACTGTTGTAGAGTGAAGAGAACAATGGCTGCCATGGGGAATAAAGCAGCCGGCAAGCAGCGATTAAAAGCAGCCCTAAAAAAAAACAAAAAAAAAACAATAGACACAGCAGTCACACGCAGGCCCACTGATGGTGAGCAGCACTCGTTTTTGTTTTTTGAAACATAACAGGGGGAAAAATATATTTTACATGTTAAGCTTACCAGTACCAGTTTTACTTTCAAAAGATGGTTATTATCAACCGGTACACCCACCAAAACCACCAATTTCAAAGGTGAAATTGGGAAAGATGATTTAGTCAAGATATGACTCATGCCACTCACATCTCTCTCTCTCTTTTGACCTACTTTTAGAGTGCAGTCTGATAGTGTCAGACAAACGCACCCACATGGCAGCAACACTGCAAGGTTTCAAAGACTCTGTAGCTGCAAGTACTGATTTCACATAACTACGCAACTCACATAACACGAACAAACATATTTTGTACCTGCTGGGTCTGGGTAAGGAGGGTAAGGAAGGCAGGGCAGGTAAGCCTCCGGTAGAAACAGAGTAGTGAACCAGCAGCAGCACTGATAGAGAGACTAGCACAGCAGAATTGATGACCACCGCTCCCCCTACAAAGCCAAAAACAAACAGCAGCATACACCCGGGGCTCATGGCCCCCCCCAAATCATGGCCCCTCGCCGGAGACAGGTAACCGCACTCTGCTGTTTTCGGTTTTACTACTGCGGGTACATCTACGGCAGAAGTCAAAGATGTTGTATCCTCCTAGGTCAAAGTCCCCAATGAGTGCAGAGCTGTGGGCTCTGCAGCTCAGTGCTGAGGCACCAAGAGACAGTGGGAGCAGGTCAGAAGCGCAGCAATGTGTCAGCAACAATCACAACAACAGTAATCCTGGTGGCTTCAGCACCAGTCAGAGATTAGAGCAGCGCGGCAGATGATCCGGAGCAGAGAGAGACTGGTAGCTTCAGCTCTCGTTTCACTGTACTCCACTGGAAGGTGATTGTTTTTCTTGCTCCTTTCCTCTTCCTATCCTCTGCCGAGATGCCACACGGCAGCCACTGTGCAGTCTAGAACACTCTGACGCTTTCCCTCTCTCCGTGCGATAGCACCCACTACCACCCCTCCCTTTCCGTCTCTCTCTCTCCATCTCCCTTTTGGATGCTGAGGCAGCTCGTTCCATATGCCTCTTCTCAGGCTGCAGCTTACTGGCTGCAAAATGAGGAGACTGATCAAAACGAGCGTGCGTGCGTGCGTGCGTGTGTGTGAGTGAGAAACTGCATTCACTGAATGCATCAGGTATCTAATGTTAAATTTTGTCAACAGTAAAAAATGCTGGACGAAAAAAAAAATATGGGGGGGGGCCTTCAGTTTAGCTCAGTGGGTGTTCAAGTGACTACAGGCTGTGTGGCCACAAAGCAGCAGCCCAGGTTTGAGTCCAAAGTTCAAGTCCAAGTTATAATAAAATTAGATTACTACATTTAGATTATATATATAAGCTCAGTATAGCAATCTGTATGCATCTGCGCCTGGAACGTGTTGCGTATTCAGTTATTTGAGCACAGCCATGTTAGGTTGAGCTAAACGCTAATGTCACAAGGCTAACATGCTTCATGCTGATGTTGTAGGCATCTTATTCTGCTCATTTTCAGCTCAATAGTTTAAGTCCTGGACTCCGCTAGAGCAGCTTTGTGTGATTAGCTCTTCATAATAATCCTTATTGTATATATGCCCCTTCACTTTAAGCCAACTGCTTTCTGATTGGCTGCCCTTTGTAAAGAGAAAGTTTGAACAGGAGGTGGGTGGGGCTTCTGGACAGAGATGTGTGCACGAGCCGCCCAGATTAACCCTTTATCTCTTGAAAAGCTACTAGCTGTAACCTTTGAGGCTCTTTTCTGAAATGAGCAGCCTCTGCCTATGCAGCTACCCTTGATTCTATTCAAATGGTCATCAAAGTTTTTATTGATATACACTGAGGTGTCAAAACCATCATTAAGGGTACAAGTGAGGCTGTCATTTGACAACTTCCCCTGTACTCTTAATGAAGAGCACAGTAATATCTGTTGTGTTATAAATAACATCATACAAAGTCAAGAAAAGAGGGGGAAAAAACTGAAACCACAGCTTTGGATCATTTGTGCTTAGACTGACCTCAGAAAATAATAATAAAAAAAAAAGCATACTGCATTTCTACTGTAAGCAGATAGATTATAAACCACACTGAATACAAAGTTGTGTTGCAGCTATTTGACCTTAAACCAGTCTACTGCAGTAATAAAAGCTTTGACTTCACAGAGTACCCCAGTCATATGTTACCATCATTTGAGTCCTAAGCCTGTCTTTATAATGCCTCCATGCAGTTTATGGATGTCTACCAAGCTCGTTAGCCTTGGCGGATAATTTAGCACTCCACCTCCCACAATGGTGGGTCGAAAGTAGTGTTTCAACTTTTATGGCTACACTTTTCAAATTTTGACGCAGATGTTTGTAGATCGAAATGCAAAGCTGGTTATGGAAACACGTCTAATCTGAGGAAATATCTGGACAACCAAACACTTGTCAAAGTTGAATGTACCACATCTGACAGCATGAACGTCAAATTCACAGAAGGACTAAAGGCTAAATTTTGCACTTATTTGAGGATGATGGTGATGATGAAGCTTTTAGAGAGGCAGCGATAGCTTCCAATCCTGTAGCGGGATAAGTTATCACAGAAATTGGACTGTTTACCCTGCTTGTAAATGTTTTAACTTAACAGTTAACAGCATGGACTCACCATGTTTACAGCATGTTGTAAGTGCAATGAAGACTCTCTGCTGGGTAAAAAAAAAATCATCTTAAATGTGCAAATTGTTAAGCTGGACCTTACTAACATGAAGCTGTAAAGTTACAGCAGCACAAACTGTGCACTCCCACTGTTTGAGATGATGATGCAGAAAATATAAATGCTGTTGTACTTGGTTCCAAGTCTCTTTTACATCACTGGAATAACAGCGCGCACACACAATACTTGTCCAATAAATAAAATACATTTTACATTTCCACGTCTTTAGTGGGCTGTGCGACTGTAACCTTCACCGTTTTTAATGAATCCAGTTTAAAGTGTCAGAACTCTCATGTACGCCTTTCACCTGAGAAATAAACAGCAGCGCCGAGAACACGCTCAGCGTTAAAATAGTAAGCTGCTATTTCACTGCTCATGTTCACTGCTAAACACCAATATTAACTAATCTCATTAACGTCTTGTCTCTTTTGCAACAGTGCTGCTGTGTCGTAATACTGTTATTTTTTTTAAAATAGCTGTTATAGAAAATTTTTAAAAATCACAATTTCATCAGCATCACCTTGTTACAACATGTGTGGCTCGAGTAGGCAACACTCCTAATGATCATTTTGCAGAGTAATAGGAGGCATTCATTGCCCATTTGTGGGTGAGCACGTGCAGAGCCCAAAGCAGAAAGCCCGGGTTAACAGAGGAAGTTGGTAATCATCACCGTGACACCAATTATCTCCTACTGGGATTTTGGGTTTTTTTTAAGCCTGACTGTTTGAACTTCCTTTTTATTACATCCCTGTGGTGAGGAAGGTAAAAAGTTTTCAATAAATAAAAAGTCTCAAATGTGAAATATGGACTCTCAGGTACCTGTGCTGGTTCAGATATTGAAGGTACCCAACTGTCTCCAACTATAATATGAAACAAGAAAAGAAAAGAGGAAAAAAAAGAAAAACAGTGCGGTTGTCTAACCGTGTCCTGACTGATGTTCCTGTATCTGAGGGCTCTGCTGTCATCGCTGCATGTTGGTGTTTAGTCCGCTCCAGATGCTCCATGTAGCTGTGGATCATCTAAAAGATATACAAGCGAGACGATCGTTAGGACATGAAGTGATCTCACTGATACAAACTGCACTAATGAATATGAAGTGCTTTGGGTCCACAGCTGTGACAGTCAGCCTTACAAAGAACCATGTTGATGCAGTGTGTAGGTGACAGCCTTCATTAGGCTTTCATCTCCCCTGTTCAACATTATTCAGATTAGCAGTTGGCTGCTGAGGCCTCAGAGGTTTATTTGGACATTGAGGCAACAGTTAGTGATAAATAATGAACAACAGACAGGGACAGACTGAAGGCTCAGCAAAAACCTAATTTACTTTCAGATTCTTCATTTTTAAAATCATTCTTTTTCTTCTTTCCTCAACAATTTGTTGTTACATTTGTTTTTCCATTTAAAATTCAAACTGATTCTTGATGGTCTCCTGAAAAACAGAAAAGGCTCGACTTTTGATGTGCAGTTACTTATGATCCATTACTTATCACGGTGTTTGAAAACACTCCACTGTGTGGTCACAGGTAAGTCCTCCCCACACATGAATGCACATGAATAACCTTATAAACTTGAATATGCAGGTAAAGAACAGCATATGTTAAATGTACACACAGACATACACATTAGTTCAGTGAAACATTCTGTCATGCTGAGATTATAACCTGTTACTTTTGATGTTTTTTGGGATAATGAGACATATTTAATATCATTACACTGCAAAATAAACTGATCTTAAAAATGACTAACATACAGAAAACAGCTATCAACCAATCAAATCTTAAGGATATGTAAACCATATGGAGTTTCTTGGCTGCTTATCCTAGCACGTTTTCACTTATTCTTTATTTATATGCTGTGCAAGTTATAAAAATAATAATGTTACTGATTTTTTTCCCCACAGCTTACTGTAAAAGCATCCATACAAACATCTCACACTCTTACCTCAGTGTGTCTCTGATGAAGGGCATTGTACTCTTTTTTGAGCTCTGCTTCTCTCTCCTCCAATCTGCTAACTGGATAAGAAACAAAGTTCATATCATGAAAACAGGAACAGGACTAGAACCAATTTTACTGAAAATACTGAAAGACTAGACTCTATGAGAGTGGAAAATCCAATGTTTTTACATGTTATTTCACTGAGCATGATACAGTTATCTGCTGCAGTAATATCTCAGAGCCAGAAGAGGGCTGCCATGTACCAACAAAATCCTCCCGAGTGCCACCAAAGAACTGGGGGCAGATGTACCCACAGCTCTGAATACCCAACATCAAGTCCAAAAGGCATCCTTTTTGCTTTTCCACTACTAAAAATAATAATGAAATTAATAAAAAAATAAATCATCATCACTCTGAATGTGTATCTCCTGCATGTTGAGTAGCTCAGTTGGATAAAAGACAAATGCTGCTGATTCCAGCTGTTTGTAGTTTTATTTCATTTTTTTTTTTGGAGTCTTTCTTCTGAGTTTTTACTACAGGGCTGATCTAACAGCAAATGACACTGTAATCCTTAGAGTTGAGCTTTCAGGCACAGTCACAGTTTAGAAGCTGGAATAAGTTTTCAATGTAACTTATAGAAATTAATAAACTTTACGTATAAGCCTAAATTTAATATATCTACTTAAGTGTGTATCAGTGTGCTAACGAAGTAAATGTAGAACTTGACTTTTTTAATTATAAAAATAGATTACCTTTATTAAGAAGGCCGAGTTGTGCGTCAGATGTCGCTAGATCTAAAACCTCATTCATAGACAATATAGTGCAACTGTCAGTGTCATGGAGATGAACCTGTTAGCATCATGACTGTTTACACCTTCATATTAAACACAGAATGCCCTGATTTTAACAGAAAGAGGTCTGCAGTAGCTGTATCCATGTCTGACAAAAGCTAAAGGAACTTCAAGGAATAAGAATGGAAATGATGCATCTTTATAATTAGTAGAAAATAAATAAACACTGCTCTGAGTTCTATCCAGCCAGTTGAGGACAACTTACTGATTCCAGTGTTTGTGGCTCTCAGGTGGCCCTGCTCATTCAGGGCCAAACAGCCGGGCAGTAGTTTAGTGTGTTATTCAGATTCCAGCCATGCAAGTGCACTCCGTCAAAGGTGGCCCTAAAGGTTTGCAGAAGCCTGAGCACTAGCAGCACCCTCTGCCTTGAACACGCACAAAGTTTCAAGTCCAAATCCACAGATGTTTAGCAAAGCTTGATTCGAGAATTCTTGAGAATCAACATGCACGTTAGCAATGACGAGCACCAGAGCAGCTGCATATTGTGGGGAAAACTGTGATTTAGTTTGGGTTTTTTTGAGGGGGCTCATAGAGGAAGTAGATGTGAAAGAGTGCAGCAGAAATAACTGCGGTGTTATTTACAGGTGTGTTCACAAAACAGTGTGATTGTTAAGGAAAGCCACACATGCAAACAATTAATCCTCTCACAAATAAAACAAGACTTGATCTGGTTCTGATCGTGACTTGTGTTGAAATCTGGCTCACTTGTGTGTCAGAGTTTGCACATAGTCTACATGAATTCACAGTTTTCTACATAAAAAAAAAAAAAAGTCCGATTTTTAAATCAGTTTTCCAATTCAGATGTCATTTAGTCAAACGTCGTCATGCCTATTAAGGCCTGTTATGTGCCAGGAAATAATATAAACATGAAAACTCCTGATAACAAATGTCTTGTTGTCAAAACACATTATCCAATTAGAGCTTGGAGCTAAATTTGGTGCGCTTTACACAGACGTGTTTCCACTGACAGGAACACAGTGCAGTGATGCAGTTCTCTCTGCTGCCAATTCTGACCATGAACATAAATTACAGACTAAATGAAACTGGCACAATGACATAACCAGAAAAAAGAGGAAGCGTCAGATCGAAAGAATTAAAAAGAGACTTGCTGAGAATTCGCAAATTTCCCCTGAGCATGGAAGAAGAGGAAGGTGCTGCGATACTGTGGTGGACCAAACAGACAGTGACACACTATGTCACCAGTGGAGTAATGCCCACATCATGAAGGTTTTTTTTTTTTCATCCCTCCCACACTGTGAGGGATGGTATCGTTCTTAAGTACTACTTCAGAAATGAACTTATTATATTACATTTTTTTAGATTAAAGCCCAGTAAAACTTTCCTGGGCTTTAAACGTACTCTATTTGAGCTCATTTGGTAAGTTAAGCACTTCACAGTATGTCACTAATAGGCTTCATTCAGGTGGTCTTTTTGCCCTGTGGCACATCAGGAAAATAAACATTCACAAAAGCTTCAAACTGTGGATGCTGTTCACAGGGTGTGTGTGTGTCGTTACAGATAAAACGCAAATTCAACTTACTCTGATCTGCATAGTTTCTAGTTTTTAGCTCTAGCTGCCTTGTGTGAGATTCCAACGTCACCAGTCGACACTGGAGATCCTTCTTCTCGCCATCCTGGGAGTCTTCCAAGGCGATGTACCTCTGCAGATTGACACAGTGAAAGCAGATATTTATTACCACAGCACTGACATTAACAAGAGTACTGTAAGCTACTGTAAGCACGAGAACATCCACTGATGATTTGTTTATGACAGCATCAGGAGGAATAAATGTCACACATGCATGTGAGCGGTCAGCTTCCTTAGCCAGTCAAGCAATCATTGGCATCTGTTACACAGGAATGCCTGAAAGAGAAGAATGAAATAGAGCTGTGTGGACTAAATGTTGCATCTGTGTGTACTTGATAACAATCTGGGCGATACTAATACTATCAATACAAATAGGAAACAAAGCACAGCGTCTGTCTTCTGTTCATTATCAAAGTTATCCAACATCTCAGCACAACAGGTGCAAAGCAACAGCTTCCTCACAGCTTGTGCTTGAGTGCTTTTCTGTGTACTATTTGATATCCATATCAGGATTGGTTTTGCAGCCTTCACAGCAGCAGCTGTCAGCAACCTCAGTCCTCTAAAACAGTCCTGGACATGCAATCATGTTAAATCATTACTATGATAAACTCACCTCCTGATTTTCAACCCCTTTCTTCAAACTGTCTCCAGCCAAAAACCCATCAGTCAACATTAAATCTAACACATAAGATGAAACTGTAAAGAGATCTGGTAAAGTGGGTTTCTAAAGGATCCAATAACAAAAAAGAAGTAAATGAAATTCTTTTAAAAAGCAAATAAGACGAAATATAACTCAAAAGACCACAAGAATTCTCAAAACAGGTTTATGAACTTGGAGTGAACTCCAGTACGACATAAACAAAACTACCTTATACTGTTTAACTATAAGCACGAACCTTGTGGCACCAGTACGAAAGTCAGGAAATCACCATAGGTGCTGACACTGACTGTTTACCAAGGTGGTGGAGTAACCAAGCCAGCAGAGCCACATTACGAGAGTGACCATAAAATCTTCAGTTATTTCAGTCTAGCACTCATCATTTTGCTCTTGTGGTGTAACATACTGTGCAGCAGTATGTTACAATAAAGCAAGACTCTTATTACATTATAAAATAGAAATCAGTAATGCTGATTCATGTAGCACCATCAGTCTGCTACAGCGGTTATAATGAAGAACAGAACAGCAAACCTCAGTATTCACATGATAGGGTGGGGCTAGGTTTCACAATGAGTTCACTCAAAAGCCTTGGCTGATTGTGACCCACACCCATTTTCACACCTTGGCTTGTGTGATTAGGTAGAGGATCAATAGGGGGTCCATGACCCTCTAGCAGACTCTCCACCAGTTGCTCTTAGAACTGAGGAAGCTTCTCAGATGAGAGGCGAAACGTCTTCAAGGAAACTTAAAGTCCAGATGCTTTTCTTTCCAGCTCCTTAGACTACAATGACCTGGATGACTGAGAACCTTCACAGACAGAACAGCAAAGCGTTTTGGCCTAAGTGCATTTCTGCACACACAGTGGATGACAAAGAGAGAGACAAGAAAGTTTACTTCCTACTTTACTGTTTATACCAGCAACAAAACAGAGTTAACATTGTTCATACACAACAAATAAGGAACTAGTCAACTCTCTTTTATTAACGGACTTAACTGAAACGGTACGAGCTGAACATATAAAATGTTTGAAGTTAGAAAATCTGTCTGGTTCTGTATTCTTTTTTCAAGCTGGCAACAGTAGACTAATAAGACACATTATAAGGTAAATTAGGGGTTGCACATCTTGTATTAGCCAAACGGGCGACTAAGTATAGGCACTTATCCAGTGCATCGGATCAGCATGTGTTTAGGCTTTGCTGCTAATGCGGCTAAAAAAAAAAAAGGTTATTGTTTCTTACATGAATATTTTCTATGTCTACAGCAGAGATCAAATGTTTCAGTAGATCACTGAACAAATAATTAAAATAATAAAATGCTGCATTACTCAGATCTTTGGGAAAGTAAGGAGGTGGGGAACTGTTAAGATTGCATTTACAGTTACAAGACAAACTAAAAACTTAAAGGGATGGGGAATCTTATAGCTACAGGTCAGAATAACTGCAACAATAAAATACAGTAGGTCCCATTAGACAGCATCAAACATGACAGACAGCATCACTGTTAGAACAGTTTTGATAACTAAAGGTTAAAGGCTACAGCCAAACTTCTAGTAAAAGGGAATACACGGGGTACTGCTGGCCTCTTTGTCTCATTTGTACTGATACTTCAGCTGAATCAGGTGTCTGATGCTGTAAACATGCAGTCTTGTGATGCAGATGTGAATTAGACACCCTGCAGCAGAGCCCCGGGCTGGTGGTGAGTATCATCTGCAGAGAGATGAGGGTCACCTGAGAAGCCTGTTACAAGCAGCCTCTTATTTAAAGATGTCCCATTAAGACCTGAGGTGTATAAAAACGTGTTTCATCAAGAAAACTTTGTGATTTTTTTAAAAATAACACGGTCAGATGTCTCCATCTGTGGCTGCAGTCTGCACATGTACATAACAAAGACACGAGGTAAATAGGTGAAGCAGCAGGGGTCTGTGTTTTAAAAACCTTCTCCAGTTCCCCCCTAAGACTTTCAACAATTAACTTTAAAAGACACCATTTACCACCATAAAGGACTAACTGACTCTACAGCTGACATATGTTGACCCCCACCCACCCAACACACACACACACACACACACACTGCAGCAACACATTTATCTACATAACTCCCAAACTCTTTCTCACCACGCTGCTCCTCATATGACCTGGGAAGGAGGCTTGCACATATGACAGCGCTCCAGAGAATAAGTGTTCCAGCGTTTGACCATGCACTCTTCCCCCTACGCTACATGGATAATGATCTCTTTGTCCCTGGGTGCCAACACACACTCTCCTACTAACAAACACATGTGCTTCCAGAACAAGTGTGTGCCTACCCCCACACAGGGCTTCACTGTATTGGCACTCAATTGACAGAGACTGAAATCAGCTCCTTTTTAGAGCTTTTGGCTGTAGATTCCTGCTGGGATGTTTAGGACAGCTGGGGGCGTTTGAGGTCCTGGACACCAGATGCAGTAAAGGGTTAGATGATCTCCTGCAGTAGTCTAATAGATTTCCAAAGGTCATGGTAAAATAATTTGTCTTGTAGATAACACTGTTTTGACAACATACTGTGGGATCCTACTCATCTTTCTTAGAACTGCAATGAGTCGATTTATTAGTCAAACAAAACACCAACTACTTTCATAATTAATCTTCACACAAAATTTCAACCAAAACCACTAAAACTTTATTCTCAGATGCCAGAAATGCATCACAGTGAATTATTACTAATATTACAATAATCACTGGTAGCATGCAGTGTATGAGAGGCTGTATTTACTGCAGACTAATCAGCGCTTTGAGCTAATACTAGCATGCCGTCCCTATTGTCAGACTGCTGTTGTGCTCTTTTGGTAGTTTGGTTAATGACGAATGAACACACAAACAAACACACCCTGACCTGATAACAGACTTTTGCAGTGCTTACGACTCATTCTGAGGGAACGATAAATATGCGTGCACCAAATTTCAGGTGATCACCTGACATAATCATAGACTGTGAATGGCACAAAACTGTGTGGCAATTACACAGCAGATGTTGTGTTATTTCTCTAGATGGGGGAAGACTTGGACTTTTTAGCAGCACTGGAAAGGATCAGATTTCCAGAATCAGATTTCCATCATGATGGAGCTAGAGGAAAACATGGAATATAACTCAAGTCTGAAAGGCTTCATCTACTTGAGACAATTTAAAATTGTGCACAATCAGTTCAACATTGATTGACACATTTCTATCCCAGACATATGTCTAAGATTTGGTTATAGGCCTATTTGTTTGGCAGATATTCAGGTTTCACTTTGGGTATTGGGATATTTGATATTTTTCAATGCTGAAATAGGTACCATGTCACATATCTAATGTTACAGCAGTAATCAACATGCTTTTGTTCGCCTCACTTTTGCTAATTTTCATGCATAGTGGAAGCTGATTTGCTTGTCGCGCAAACAGAGTATTACAGACTGATATAGCTACAGCAACATCACCAGTTGGTTTTGTGAACTCCTGTTTTAAAGCCCAGGTTCCTCTTGCCTATCCTATGTAACCTCCTAATGTACTTAGCATCAGCTCATATGTCCATGACCAGTATTCACTCTCATTGACAGTTGCTTCAGTCACTCGCCTGAAAACTGAGAAACGTTTATCTTTTCCGGCAGTTTAACTAATATGGCCAGACACATCTGTCACAATTCAGTCTTTTCTTCTTTAAGACACAGTCAAACAGACCCATTCAACAGTATGCTGAACCCAGTATTGGTTGCTCCTGGTACATGTTAGTGATTCACGGTGATCAATCAGTTGGCATTACTCGTCAGTAGTGCGCGGCCTCTCCCACATCAGCAGCAGATAACCATGGACGGACAAAAGAACTGAGGGAAGTGCCGTTTTTCCCAAAGAATTTCCTGCCTTGCCTTTTCCTCCTTTCGCTGAGGCAAGCCAATGAGAGGAATTCCTCTGAGCTTGAAGGACAGAAAAGCAGGACTTGGCCTATACGGCGTTGATTTGGTGAGATTAATCTGATTCTTTTTTCCGAGAGTGACTTTTTTAAATGAGCAGCTTCATAAATGAATCTGTGCCACACTGCTCATCAGCCTTAGAGAAGGCAGTTGCTTTGGTGTGGGCTGTGTGCATCTACACGTGGGTGTAAATGTGAAAATCACAGCTATCTGCACTGGAACCATCTACAGAGAGAGCAGGTGTATCCCTACAAAAAAAATAATGCATTGATGAGTGTTTTTCTGAGTGACGGCACCTATCATTCAGCAGAAGAATACATTTTGTTGTATGTGCAGTATCAACAATTTTCACACATTCAAGTCACGATCATGTTGCTGTGTGCAGACTGACATGGGCTGCTTGTGATCGTGGTCGCTCAAACTTTGTGAAATCTGTCTCCTTCTATAACAGAGCATGAGATAAGTGGTGAATAAGAACAAGGGAGACTT